TTATATAAATTGAAACACTAAAATATGACGTGTGATACTTTAGTTGGAGGTAACAACTGGCTCTGATACCAGGACCTGTCTTTTTAGACTTGGAGAAAGTAGAGCTAGTTGAATCGGAAGCCGCTTGAGAGGCTGTTGTTAACTTCTTAGTTCACCAGGCTTTCCTCTTCAGGACCACTGTGTTTCCTACCGGGATGTCCGGTTTCCTAACTTCCTGCTCAGCTTTCCTGACTTCCATGGGGACTCCTCCCTTATCTTGCAGCCCAGTTTAATATTCATTCTGGGGATTTGTGCTTTCCATGCTCAGTAAGCTCATGGTTCATTCTTCAAGAGATAAAAATTTGAGAAAATTTCCCTGGGAATTTCTAATTCAGGAAGGTAGGCGTTTCCAGATGTTGAATGCATTGCATTTCAAGAGGGTACTTAACTTTTAAAATGTTAAGAATATTTTACCTCTACCAGATCAAGTCCTCTAGACTTTCATTTTATTGTTTAATATATTTTTAGTGATTTCAAAGAGAGGAAGATAGAAGCATCAATGATGAAAGATAATCATTGATCGGCTGCCTCCCCTACTGGGGGTTGACCCCATACCTCGGCATGTGCCCTGACCAGGAATCAAACCTCTTGATTTCTTGGTCAACACTCAACCACTGAGCCAGGCCAAATGGTGATATAACTGAGATTTTCTCCTGTGATATTTCTCTCAATAGAAGAGGGCAGTACCAGTGCATTCTGTCTGTGGCCTTCTGCAGCTAATGACTGTGAGTTTATTGTTCTGATGGTGGGGATTATCCCCATTCCCTTTCCAATTGGCAAAATTATTTGCTGGATCATAAGATATATAATTTTGAGGAGCTGGGCCTAGCCAGCAGTCACTTATTTTTCATTTCCGTGAAGCCAACTTTTATTTTAATACCAAACGTTCACATTTAAATGCAGACACGTGAGTAAACAAACCAGACTTGCCTTTATTTTAAGCCTCTTTCATGTTTCAAGGATATTTCCCTCCTGACCACATAAGAGGACCCTGGATACGCACCTCCTACAAACCTCCCACCCCACCTTCATTTATCTACTTAAGTTCAAAGTAGCTGAGCACGGGAGTGGCGTTCTTCCTATTGCACATAGCAGGCAAATCTTCTAACCCTCGATTCCCAATCCTGTCACCTACCTAAATGTCACACTGAGCTTTCTTCAATGAGACCTTAAATTCTTGATCTTGGTGGAAATATTGAACCCCCACTGGCACCAGCATTAGACCTTAGCTTTGGGTTTACCTGGTGCAGCCCTTCTCAAAGCAAACGCCCTTGGATTGCTCAGCCGGTCTCTGCCCACTTCTTACTCGGACACAAGGGGCAGGCAGCTGGGATGGAAAGGAGCCTTTGCCTTCTGAAGGCTGCCGTCTCGGGCTAATGGCATCCTCAGCTTAAGCTGGTACCTGTGACTTTTTCACTTTTCTTCCTTCCTTGCAGGCCCAGAATTGCCTCACTAAGCTGTACAAGCTAGATAAGGTGCAGTTCCGACAAACCATGAGAGACTATGTGAACAAGGATTCCCTCAATAATGTCGTGGACTTCTTGCACGCTTTGCTAGGATTTTGTATGGAACCGGTCACTGACAGTAAGTAGAGCTGAACCAAGTTCTAGTTCTAAGAGAAGTCGCTGTGAGGTGAAGCAGGTAGCATTTCAGAAGCACACTAAATTTATATGGATAGAATATAGAGGAGGAGGTGTGTGTGTGTGTGTGTGTGTGTGTGTGTGTGTGTGTGTGTGTGTGTGTGTGTGTGTGTATGTGTAATAGTGTATAAACAAGAGAAGCGTATACATCATCTTTGATGACATATTTTGGAGCCTTTCTGAGGACAGCTTACCTCAGCAAATGGGAATTGAGTGAAGCTGTGGCACCCTCACTGTTAGCCCCTCAATCCTTGCACTACTATTCCTCTCTCTCATATGACTTTCTGTTGTGTGACAACTGAGGCAGAGATCCAGGAACTAGGAAATATATTCACAGATAGTCATGTAAATGAATATCTATTATGTGCTCACCACAGTGCTTGGAGATTTTTTTCACAAAATAAAACAGGCAAGAAAAAATATATATAAATATAGTAGTAACACAATTTTGATACACACATGTACGCATACAATATACTGATTTAAAAAAACAACAACAGGCAAAATGGATGTATAGACAGGCCCACAATATTTTATTTATATCTTAGCTTCATGGCTTTAAGAAAACTCCAGTGTAGAGACCTGTGTTATGGGGGGAGACCAGTGAACACCAATTACATTCATAATAAACCAAACACCTTCAATGCCACTTGAATGCAAATGCAGTGATGAAATGAAAATGATGTGTTTCCCAGGTTGAGGAAAATGCACATTTTTATTAGAGCCTGGGAAGAAATAACTTCTTCGTGTATGGGGGATATATTTATACAATACATGTGTAGTAGTAGTCAATCAATTTATAATGAAGATATATTTGATGGATTTAGAAAATACTGTTTCTCTGAAGAAAATGTGGAATAATGTATGTTATCAAAGCTGTTTTAAGCCAAGCACATTACAAACAAAAACAAAAAGAAGAAAGAAAGAGAAAAAAATGAGAGTTGTGGTTGAAACTGTAAGAGAAATCTTGATTACAAACTTTTTAAACAATCTTTTTTAAGCTATTGGAGATAGAAACTATAAGCATAGACTAAGTCATTTGTTTCTAATGTAAAATCTAGAGATTACCCCTTGTACATTGACGCAGAAAGTGAGAGGTTGATAATAAAATTGTATTACTTTAAGGTGATGAATTCCTCCTGGGATTCTTGAGAAATGGAAGTGTCTCACAGTGAATGGGCCAGCCAGACACACAGGGCCCCATCTAGTCAGTCTAGCAGCTACACACACTCTGCCCCTACAGTCCACAGGTGGCTTGAAAGCCAGAGGAATTTTCTGGCAGCCCCCAAATACCTGATGTTACCCTACAAAGGGTCCATGGATTCATGAAAAACTGGTATAAAATGCCAGAGGGTGAGGGCCTCAGTTCACTGGCATTTCACATTTCAATGAATTAGAAAGGGGTGCCCGTGAGGGAGGTTGTGGATTTTCCTTCTCTGTCCAAAGAGTCTCTGGGAGCAAGAAGCTGCTGCAATTTCTTTGCAGCTCTTGGCAGGACTCAGTCCCTTCTTGTTCTCATTGCATATCTGTGTGAATGCCTCCCCAGGTCCCTCCCGTCCTCTTCCCTCCCCCTGCCCCACTCACCTGGTTGGCCTCACCTCACTCTACTTCTTACAAACCTAGCGATTTCCACTGAGAGCCAGTATTCTTCACCACCTCCAAGACTGATCTGATCAATTTCTCCTCCAATGAGGGACCCTTTAGTAGATCTTTTTTTTTTTTTTAGTAGATTATTTTTTTGAATGATCACCAATTTAAAAACTACTCTAGATCTAAGTTTTTTTCTTAGGATCAACAGTTCTCTTTTCTTTGCTGAGGTTTATCAATTAAAGCACTCCATAAAGCAATGGAATATCCTATATAATAAAATAATAATATGCAAATTGTCCCCTGGACTGGGAGTTTGACCTATGATATGACGAGGAGTTTGACCAGGAGTTTGAAAAGAGGGCTGGGCAGGCTGGCCAACCACCCGTTGCCCCTCCCCACCAGCTGGCCCGGCCTGATCGGCCCTGATCAGACCAGGTCAGATGGACCCCACCCATGCACGAATGTGTGCACTGGGCCTCTAGTGTCATAATAAAGACTCTGAAAGAGACTATGAATTGTTTATCTCCAAGTCCATGGAAAGGTTACTAAACCAGGGGTGTCTTTAATCCTCTGTTTCGGTATTCTGTGTGCCGTTCCTTAATTCCTGGGTGCCCAGTACTTCTTTCAACTGTGTGGCTTGATGGAAACTGCCTTTAATTGGCTCCTTTGCATTCCAGACAAGGCTGGTTTTGGAAATAACTTCACGACAGTGGACAACAAATCCACAGCCCAAAATGTGGAAGGCATTATCGTCAGTGCCATGTTCAAGGCCCTCATCACACGCTGCGCTTCAACCACACATGAACTGCACAGCTCTGAGAATCTGGTGAGAAGCTCACCTTTCCTTCCCACAGGAAATCTTTGTCTCCATCAGGGAAAAGTTCTCATGTAGAGAAGAAACGCCGCATTTCTTCACTCCTACAAATCATGAGAAAAAGAAGTTGAAGTCTAAAATCCCTGCTTCCCCAGTGTTACCAGGAACTCACGGTGGAGCCTCAGCAACACATTTCCCTGTTATTCATCATCCTATCTGTAACCAGATTTCTCTCCCTCCTCGTCTCAGGGCTTCTGTGGTGGTTGGTGTAATAGTTGCAAAATACTTTGAGCCCTTCAGAAAGAAGGTGCTGGAGCGCAGCATGCTAGCTCATGAAATATTAAAAAATGTTATACCAAGCATCTTTTAAAATTATACTTACTTTAAAAATTAATGCAAGTATGCTGCTGAAATAGTTGGGTTTTTCTAATTGGAGGCTGAATTCGTTTAGCTACTCTTCATAAATGACTGTTAATTAAGCCACTGAAACCACAAGTAGAGCAAGCCAGGCTGTAAAAGGTTAATGCTTAATTACTACACAGGAGATTGTGTACTGAAATGTACATCCAGGCCAATAGATGTGAAGGGAAGAGATGAACTCAGATTCATTACTGGGGAGTAAAAGAGTGTTTCTCTGTTTTACCAATTCGTTACATATTATGATTCCTAATGCAGAAATCAGTCCATTTACATATGTGGCCACTATCTGAGGAATTTACTTAAGATATTCTAAACAATTGAAACTATTCACTTATCTGGAGATAAACAGAATAAAACCCCAAATCAAAGGGAATTTAATTTTCCTGGTTGTCAAAGCCACCCCAGCAAGATCCTTGGAGCTTGAAAAATATATGGACACCACCTATGCATTCAATTTGGTCAAAGAAAGAAGTCTTTTGACAAGTTGATTATAATACATGTGAGCTTTCATACATCTTATTATAACATGTATTATGACATCATGTATGGAAGAAATACTGCATTTCTTAATTTTCTGTAAATCATCTTCAATTTGACTTGGAACCACTCTTCCCCTAGAATGGCTGGAAGTTGAATCTCAGTCATTCTTGGCTTTCTCCACTTCGCAAAGCAGTGCAAGTCTTAGGTGGGACCTAGGGCCTGAAGGCTCCATCGGTTCCAGTCATTGGTTCACACCAGGTATTTCACTAGTGCTTTTGCTGCATGCACTCTGGAGAGTTTGGAATCTTGCTTCTTGGGCCTTGCCCCTTCCATGGAGTAGCTGCCAAAGAGCAGAGTGAGGGCACAGGGCCTTGCTGTCCACAGCACTGGAAGGACACTCTCCACGTTTTCCTTACTAGCTCTCCCTTCTGCTTTTTCAAAGATCATGGGCATAATTGTCCCACTGGTCTTAGGTTTTAAAACTCAAAGCTATCAAGGTAAGTGTTTTTTTAGGCTTTTATGTTCTGCTTTGCCATGAACATTTCCTAAGACAAAAAAAAAATACAATAACAGCCTTCTTAAAGAAGGAAGAGAGGGGGAAATGCAGAGTGCAAAGCTTAATCTCTCCCCCCCAACATGCTGCATATATTTTTAAATATTGAATTACCAGTATATTGGTTTTAATAGCCCTGCATCATCTTAAGTTCATAGTCAAGTTCACATTCAAATGAGGTGCAACATACATGTTATTTGTTAAATCTGTTCAGCAAAATGCATCATCCTTGAATGTTAGACTCTGTCAGAAGTGTATAGAGGACTTAACAATTTTATCACAATGATGTAGAAAATTTGGAGAAGCTAAACAGGGACTGAAATCTCCAGTATAAACAAAATTCTGATTGCATTTTGTTTTTGCAGGCATCTCTTCAGAGGTCACAATTAAGAGAACAAAATTAAAGCTTGGTAATCCAGTGGTTAAAAGTATAAATCAATGTCTTTCTAATGATACAGCCAACTTTCTGAATATGAAGCATGATAACCATTCTTTTTCACACTAGAATGACATGCAAGGTTCCTGGTAATGTAGCCAAAGGAACAAGGGAGAGGAGGTTTACCATCGATTTTATCAAAGGAAATTGTCTTCCCTTTACGATCCCAGTGCTCACCTAAGCCCAAAGAATTACCCCCACCCCACTCCGCTTCCTATGAAAACTATACACTCACACAACTACCTTCCTCACACTTTCCTTCTTGCTTCCAAATAGGGGCTGTATTGTGACATCCGTCAGCTGGTCCAGTTTATCAAAGAGGCTCATGGGAATGTCTTCAGGAGGGTGGCCCTCAGCGCTTTACTTGACAGTGCGGAGAAGTTGGCACCAGGGAAGAGGGTGGAGGAGAATGAGCCAGAATCTAAGCCTGTAGGCAGCAAAAGGTTGGAAGCTTGAGCTCGAATATAAGTGTTTGCCTGTGTCTGTAGAATATAATCTTCTGTTGCATGTCCATGTGGTTCCCAACACCGTGTGTAACTCCACTGCAGAGAGTTACTTTTGCATAAATGGAATCACGGATGGTGGTCCAGCTGCAGCTTAGAAAAGGAATGAGTTTACCATCAAATAAGTCCTGTCTCTGTATGAAGCAGAGCTCAGTTGATCCCAAACTTCCATGCACTTGAACTGCCCTTCATAGCTCTTACTCATGTATTTAATCTGTGTTTTGTTTCTTCTAGAAATAATATAAATTTTTGTTCAGGAAGAAAAAGCAATTATGGCTACCATATTATCCTCTTCAGTTAAATGATATTTTTAACACATCAAAAGATGAATTGCTAAACAGAACTCTGCTGTTTTTATTTCTAATAAACATACATTTATTGTATGCCTATTCTATGAAAAATGCCACTTACAAAGATTAAAAGAAAATCCCACACTTAAAATCCTGCCTGCAGTTCATGATTCTGTTAGCAATAGTGGAATTCTTAGGCAATAGGTAGCTGGGTCATGAGTCAAATGGTCAGATATAAATTCCATACCGACATAGATCTGCTGACATGGGGTTTGCAAGCCATATAGTTGTCTGGAGTGGAGTGTGGTGAAGTATACGAGATACTGAGAAGTGGTGTCCTGCTCTGTTGTGATTGGTGGAATGCACCATTTGCTTAGGTCAGAGGCAGGAAGCGTTGTGGATAAAGGCCAAGTGTCCTCTGCGCCTGAGGAATGTCGCAGCTTCATATCTGGTCGACCCTCACAGACTCCAGAGCAGTAAGTAGCATTGGTTTTGTGTCCAATGTAGTGGGCTGAGCACTTCCCAATGGAAGAAATTTTATTTTCCAAACTGCTATTTGTTGATGTTTTTTTAAACTTTGCCTTGCTTCTGCCCTTTACTTTTCATTCCCAACGCCATTCATCTCTACAGAATCAAATCACAAATAACCAACCTCATGCCTATAGGAAGCCTCTGATATTAGTTTATCTCTATTTTTCATAATGGCAACATGAAAAGCATCTTGAAATTAGTGTCCCCAGAAAATATGAAGATTACTGTAGACATTAAATAAACAGCCTAGGCTCATTTGCATGAATTCTTTTGGTTTTTTTTAAATCCTCATCTGAGGACAGTTTCATTGCTTTTTAGAGAGAAGGGGAGGGAGGGAGTAAGAGAGAGAGAGGAAGATAAAAGGAGAGAGAGAGAGAGAGAGGTAAGAGAGAGAAAGAGAGAGATGTAAGAGAGAAACAGATTGGCTGCCTCCCCCATGTTCCCCAACCAGGGCTGGGGATGGAATACCACAACCCAAGCATGTGCCCTGACCAGGAATTGAGCCCATGACTTTTCTGTATGGGACAATGCTCCCACCAACTGAGCAACACTGGCCAGGGCACATTAATTCTTTTGAGGACTGCTTGCACAAGTGGCATAATCAAAATTTAAAATGGGTACATCCTTTTGGGTACATCACTTTACTTCCCAGAACCCCGATTTACTATTAAATAATTACCCTTCCAGAAATTCTGCAGGTAGTGTATATTTCATGGTATCCTTTCTCCATAGTCAAGAATATTAGTCATCAAATAAGACCTTGGTAATAATCTACTGCAAGCAAACAAAACCTTTAAAGGATAAAAAGCCCCCACAGTTGTGATAGCCCTTGAAAAATCTTAGAGACTACGCTAAATGGGTAGAGAAAAGTGAGAAGTAAATCAACTCTATAGGCCCAGGGACTATGTGAGTTTTTGCCTACCAGGATAGCCCCAATGCCTACATGGTGTTTGGCACATAGTAGGCACTTAATATATATTTGAATGAATAAATGACAATCAATCAATGAAAAGATAAACTTGACGGATTACCCTTAAACCTTTGTTTTCTTTAACTTTTTCAAAATTGAGGTTTAGTTTTTTCTTTAAGGAAGTCTTCAAGGAAATGGTAAAAATCCAAATGTAAGCTCTAGGAAAAAAGAAAAATTAATGTGAAAAGCAACGTTCTATAGCTGAATGGCCACAAGACTAGTTTAAAATCCTTATACACAGAATCTGTCTGAAAAAGCTGGACTTTTTTCCAAATTCATTCTAGCAACTATTGAGCTAATCTGATAAGAATGATCTAATAGTAAATCGAATTAAGAAATAAAACCATTTATCTTCCTAGGTAATTTAGTTTTGTAGACTGCAAAATATTCTCTTTCTTCAGTATTCTGTAAACCCCACCTAATTTCTCAGCATTTAGCACCTCTCTTCTTCCCCCTCGAATGAAGATACGTGTTTTACTAGGCCTCTACATAAAAATTTCCACTTGAAAGGATGTCATAGAATGTCAGATATAGAACTTTCCCCTGACCTGAGTTGGCCCAGGAGATGGGCATGCCAAATGTCTTCTGTGTAGCATTGGAGAAAGATGGGTAGATGGATGAGCCTGGCTCCTCCTTTATCTTCTCCTTCTCTCTCCTCCCTTCCCTTCCCCTTCTTACCTTTTCTTCTCCTTCTCCCTCCTTAAATAAGTCACTTTAACTGAGTAATATAAAAAGCAGTTTCATATGCTCTTTTCTCTGCAACTACTTATTGATACACATTCATTGAACAAAGCTGATGTAGCATTTATTGAGAAAGCTGATAAATTACAGCCTCCATGAATGTTTTCCCACCCAGAGCATGTAGCCATGTATCGGACATTCCCCAAAGGTATGAAATGCTTCATGCACTGTGATCATTTTATAAAAATAACTGAGAAGTCAAATTCAAAAACATTGATTTGATACCATATTTGATAAACAGATTTCCCTGGTTTAAAATAAGAATAAAATTCATACCATATTTGATAAACAGATTTCCCTGGTTTAAAATAAGAATAAAAGGTATTCTATAACCTTCTCTTTCCAAATTACTAAAGTCATATATGTTGTTCAAATTGATGAATGTGGAAAACACAGAAAAGCATAGAGAAAAATAGTTTTGAAACCAGAATGCCATCAACTGGAGACAATTAATGTAAACTTTTGGTATGTTTTGTTGGGTACATTTTTTAGCATATATACACATAAGCTCATACTCAGACACATGCGTACATGTGTACTTTTTAAATTATTATTCACCTGGTCTTATCCTGTCTAATTTATTTGATCATTGTTTTTTACCTTTTCACTATATCTTCAACATTTTCCATATCAATAATTTTCTAAAATAGGATTTTAATGTCTATGGAGCATGTCATTATATGGAAGTCCCATAATTTATTTTAACTGTATCCCTAGAGTTGAACATTTAGATTGTTTTCAGTTTTTCAGTGTTGATCAATAATATCTCAGTGAGCATTTGACCCTCTTGTACAGGGGTCCTCAAACTACAGCCCGCGGGCCACATGCAAATACAAATATTGTGTTTGTTCCCGTTTTGTTTTGTTTTTTACTTCAAAATAAGATACGTGCAGTGTGCATAGGAATTTGTTCATAGTTTTTTTTTAAACTATAGTCCGGCCCTCCAACGGTCTGAAGGACAGTGACCTGGCCCCCTGTTTTAAAAGTTTGAGGACCCCTGCTCTTGTATGTTAGCATGTTGTCCCATCATTTCCTTGTGATAACTTCCTGGAAGTTGAATTTTTCGGTCATGGGTGTAGATATAGGCTTTGGATAACCAAATTACCTTCCAGGAAGGTTTAATCATTGTAAGGCATTGCTGGCAGTATGATAGTAACCATTGCTTTCCTTTTTACCCCCATAATGTTTGCCAACTTGATGAGTGAAAATGGGGATCTCATTTTAACTATTTTCTTTTAAAATTCCTAGTGAGATTAAAGTCTGCATAAAATTGGCCACTTGTCTTTTTTCTCTTGTGAAATGCCCTACTCAAAAATCTCTTTGAAGATGTTCCCATTTGTTTTACTGTATGGGACTAATGTTTTTACTTTTTTTAAAATTGATTTCAGAGAGAGGAAGGTAGAGGGAGAGAGGTATAAAAACATCAATGATGAGAGAGAATCACTGAAGGGCCCTGACAAGGAATCAAACCATGACCACCTGGTTCATGGGTTGATGCTCAACCACTGGACCACATCAGCTGGGGCAAATATTTTTACTTTTAAACCTTACTTAAGTTTCTTTGTCTAAAGTAAGCCAAATAATTTGGCATTCTGAAAATAATTTAGTGAACAATTGTTGAATGATTCATCCCTTGGGTGTGGTGATTACATTTCATTTATTCAAGTACTTTTTGTGAGTTTTTTAATGTCAAGAATTATACTAAACTGGAGTGGGGGTGGGGAATAAGATACAATTGTGCATATGCCTCAGGGAACTTCCAAAAGTGGTTAAATATTTACTGTCACTGTAAGTGCTGCTGCTATTATGACTCACACCTGCAGATGAATACCTGCAATAAAATTTAGTCTTCTTATTAAGGCTGAATAAAAAGTCATTTCAATTTGACATCTGAGACATGACTGTTTTCAGGAAGAATTCAGAGAGTCAACCTTGGTCTTCCTCCTTCCACCCACTCTTT